TATTTTCTTTTTTATTAACTACCATTTTATTTTGTAGTTTTGACAGACCTTTTAGATGCGATGCACAATCTTAGAGAAAAATACGGTATTAAATCCTGTTGTCATTGTATTAACAAACAGACTATACCAGTGGGGAATTTTCCTCCAGTGAATGGTGTTTCTCAGGTGAGTAAGAAACCCTTTGATTTGAGTATATGGTCAAATTAAACTTTGGTGTTTTTGCTGAATTACATTTTCTTTGTTACTGTATCAGAGTTAGTTCCTACTTTTAACTCGTTAGTTGAAGAGACTTTATTAAAAAATTTTATTATTCTAACCCTTACAGGTTTTGCAGAATGTTCTTAATCACAGTAATAAAATGTCTCTGTGCATGCCTACGGCGCAACAGCAAAATAGCCCTCAGAAGTCTGAGACTAATGGCGACAGCAGCCCAGGAAGTGATGCAAGCACTGACAGCAAGTTAACACCTCCAGAGTCCCAGTCACCACTGCACTGGTTAGCGGATCTCGCAGAGCAAAAATCCAGAGAAGAAAAAAAAGGTAAAAATAATTACTTATTTAAATGTTTATTAGAAGATAGCATAATCAATCATGTATTCTTAACTTCTAACACTGTATTTTCCTGCTTGTCTCATGGTTTTTTGGTGCTAGGTGTGACTGGCTCAAGTATGAGTCATAGTGACCCTGCCATCCTCATCATGTCTGACCTACTTGAGCCCATTGTTGCAGTCATTCTATCAGTCCATCTCATAGGGCCTTCCTTTTTTTTCTGAACCTCCCGCTTTGTAAGCATGGTGTCTCTGTCCAAGGAATAGTCCCTCTTAACAACATGCTGAACATGAGATGCAGCTACAGCTCATGGCTTAGGTTCAATAAAATATGTATCTTCTCTCAGTAGATATTTTGTACTTTCCTGTGATTGTATCAGAATTTACTGTAAAATCGTTGTGGATGACCACATCAGTAAAACCACCAGGGAAATGTTTTCTGCCTATCCTAGATAAGCATTTTTCTCATTTGTGACAGGAATACACACTTAGCTGAATAGCTAAGATATTGAGGAAGGCCTTTTCATGCTTAAACCATTTAACTCCGTTTTAAAGGATCTCATTCATCCTCTGGGTGTGTGGTCAGGTGAATACAATGTCTGGTGCAGTAGTTCTTTCTGCCACTGTAACATAGAGTGTGCAGCTTTTTAAAGTTTAACTATATACTTAATTGCATTAAAATTTAATAGATTTTTGTTTTTCCAGAAAACAAAGAATGTACTCTTGAAACAGAAATTAAAGAAGAACAAGACAACCCTGATGATTCTCCAAATTACAGAACATCACCTTCTGTGTCCCAGAATAACGAACAAGGCTCAACTCTAAGAGACTTGCTGACCACAACAGCCGGTAAACTACGCGTGGGTTCTACAGATGCTGGCATTGCCTTTGCACCAGTGTATTCAATGGGAGCGCCAGTAAGTATGCTGCCACATTTTGCTTGTTTTGCTTTTTGGGTTGTTTCTGGTTTGTTTTTAGTGTTTGCGCTTCCCCCTCTTAATTGAAGCCTTACATTTTGGTGTATTTCGAGTCAATGACTATTGAAAGTAAACTACATAATAACTAACTCCAGTTGTAATTACATTTTCCAGATTTACCATATTCACATTTGTGCTATAACTTCTCTTAATTAAGAAGTGGAAGTTTTTAAAATCTCTTTTTCCCAGGAGTATAAGATTTAGATACTCATTTCAGAATTTGAAATCATACATCTTAGGAAGGGTAGAGGGGTGAGAAAGATAGCAAAATGAGTCTTGTGTTACTTAAAATAATTAGAAATCAGATTTTGATATCATAATTGCCCAGATTTTTTAAAAATAGAAAAGTAAATGGTATATATAAATCTTTAATAATTTTCAAATTGCTAAAAAAGAAAAATAGCTTTCTCTGACGAATTCTACCCTTTGAATACTTGTAGGCCTAAAACAATGGGAAAGATAGGAATGCCACAGTTCTGGACTTACAGCCCTGGCAGGTCCTTGGAGAAGACAAAGCTTATGGTCCCTATCTGGTGGTATAGGGAGTGGTATTCCATATCCACTAACATGATTACATATACTTGGATACAGGGATGTTGTTACTGTTAGTTATTTTTTGTTATTAGAAAAAGTGAAGGTTTATTAAAATGATAGGAAGTCTGGGATAAAAATGTATTTATTTTTTCCACTTATTGCAATTCTTCTCTAAGACATTTCTTTTCCTTTAATAGAGTAGCAAAAGTGGAAGAAGTATGCCAAATATTCTTGATGATATAATTGCTTCAGTAGTTGAAAACAAAATTCCTCCAAATAAAGCCTCCAAGATAAATGTAAAATCAGAGTATAAAGAAGAGCCTAAAGAAAGCAGAAAATCTCTTCAAAGTGAAAATCATAAATTATACAGTGATATACCACACTCTTGGATCTGTGAAAAACATATTTTATGGCTTAAGGATTATAAGAACAGCAATAATTGGAAGCTTTTCAAAGAATGCTGGAAACAAGGACAGGTGATTATTTTAAACTATACAGTTTTTATAGAAGTAAAATTTGAAGAGTACACACAGTTCTTAATAACTTATTAGTTGTTGAAACAGTTAACAAATAATACTTTGTATATTTGGTGGAAATAAGATTTTGAAATCAATAGAAAGGTTATTAGGTTATTAGAGGGTTTCTTTGTGTCTACAGTGTTTATTATTGGCCAGAATTATGTGAATTATAAAAAAAATTATGTGGTTATTTGATGTTTGTTTGTATTCATTTAAAGAGACGTAATAAAATTCCTTCCACCTTCAATGTTTATATTTTTGTTCAGTTAGCATCTTCATATCTGTAATTAAGATGTTTATCCATATTAGAAGCATTTTTCTTAAACTGATAACGTGAATGTTTATGCTTTTATTGTGCCACAAACATTTATTTAAACATTCATTCATAAAATCTTGAATGACAAACCTCCATTATATAATTCTGCCCTAATGAGATGGATTGATACAGTTACTGGGGCAATGGAGGTTGCTGTAAGAATTAGGAAGACTACCTCAGGACAGGGCAGGGTTCAGAGCTGCTATACATACGGTCAGTATTGGTCGCAAGCAACTTGGCAGCACATAACAACAACAGCATCTTATATTGGTTTTTAGTTAAGCCTCTAGTTTAGAGTCAACAAGACCTCACTCATGGAGGGCTTTTGTATTTAAAAGTCAGTTGTTATATTTTGGAGCATCATTTCTTCTAAGTGGTGCAGCACTCTTCTGTCACTTTGCTGTACTGAGGTATCCTGGGGTTGCTGTGATGCTGAACCTTGTACATTGTGGTATCAAATGCCATGGTGGACAGTGTTTGATGGAGCTCCCAGTTTAAGACAGATTTGGAAGCAGGAATTGTGTCCACTTCCTTACAGCATGCCTTTGGAAACTCTATGAACTTTGAGAAATGACAGTAGTTATAGAAAGGTCTTTTGTTCATATGAGTCGTGCTCAATTTGACAGCAATCAACAGCAACAACAAATAAAAATAATTATGTTTGACCAAAAAGTTTTTGACATTCTATATGATATTTTGCTATAATGCAAAAATTAGTAACAACTTTTTAAAATTCGTGTGAATTAGTATGACTTTCTGATTATGTCTTACTGAAAAACAACTATTTTATTTTACTTTATAGGATTTCCTAAGCAAAGATGTTCAAAAACTCTTTTTCTCAATGTGGTGATGGTAGTAGTCACATGCTGTTGAGTTTTACCCTCCATTGGGTTTTCACCAGTTGTAAACTGCACAGGAGGGGGTTATTTATCTTTTCTCCCACAGAACAGGTGGTTGATTCAAACCATGGGCCTTTGGGTTGGCCACCCAGCTCCTTACTACAATACTGCCAGAACTCCCAGATATGATAGACATTGTTATTGTTATAATGAGCCATGAAGTGAGCTATGACTTATTGTGGCCTAAAGAACAATGGCTATGAACCTTACCTTATCCTGAACCAACCTAACCATTCTGACCCATTTAACCCTGTGACTACAGTCACTGTGTCAATCCATCTGTCTCATCAAGGGTTTTTCTCTCTTTTGCTGTCCCTCAGTGTTGGCAAGCATGATGTTCTTCTCCAAAGACATCTCTCCTGACAGCATACTGAAAGTATGTGAAACAGAATTTCAGTGTCCTTTCATTCAAGGAGCACTTTGGTTTTAGTTTCTCTAAGACAAAATTGTTTAGTCTCTTCACAGTCCATTGGATATTCAGTACTCCTCCAGCATTACAACTCAAAAGTTTCCATTCTTTTTCTGAATGATAGGCGTTGTTGTTGTTGTTGTTGTTGTTGTTGTTACTCCTCCAGCATTACAACTCAAAAGTTTCCATTCTTTTTCTGAATGATAGGCGGCGTTGTTGTTGTTGTTGTTGTCGTCGTCGTCGTCGTCGTCATCGTCAAGCACGACTCATATAGCCTTTCCATAACTATTGTCATTTCTCCAAGTTCCTAGCGGTTTCCAGAGGCATGTGGTTTAGGAAGTATGTGGATGCCACTCCTGCTTCCAAATCTGTTTTACAACTGGGAGCTCCACCAAACACTGTCTACATTGGGGAACCATTCTGGTATTTGATACCCCAATGGCACTAGGTTCAGCAACACAGCAACCCAGTTACTTCATACAGTACATTCACAGAGTAATGTGCAAAATGGAAAAGTGTTCCTCCAGATTTAATAGCATTACTCTCATTTAGCAGTGGTTAAGTGTCATCAAGTCAAATATGTCTCAGTAATCTTTGCACAAAAGACCTGAGCTCTGTTCTATAACTAACATCATTTCTGTACATTTAGAGAGTTTCCATAGTCATCTAGTTTAGGAATTGGATGCCACTCCTGCTTCCCACCATGAATCAATCTGGAAGCTCATCCAAACATTGCACTTAAACCATTATGGTATTTGACAAGACTGTGGAACAATGTGCAACATCATAGCAACTCCAGGTTGTTCAGTACAGCAAATAGACAAAAGATTGCTATGTCATTTAAAGAATATTCATTCAAAAATTAATAAATTATCAAGTTTCAAACTTCTGCCATAATTTAGTTACCTGGGCCATATACTGGGAAACTTCTGGCTTCTCCATTTGCTTTCATGTTAAGAAGGTGACTAACAGCCTTTGTGATCTACTTACTGTTCTGATCAGCAGAGATCGTTCTTCTATGTTTGCGTAGCACTCTGACCAAAGTTCTTAAGAGATTTAATATATTTATGAAAATACTTATTTTTACACCTCAAGTCCACACAAAACTAAATGCTACAAATTGTAGCCTAGGGGCAGTCTCAGGGTTGATGTTGAATGTGGGGGAAGGTGGGGAAAACTGTAAGAGACCACATCTCGGTCAGGTTGATGCATCTGAAGTGTAGGGAGCAAGGGAAGACACGGAGACCACCATGGAGGTGTGGTCAGTCAGGGTGGACCTGCAAAGGACTTGGTGGGAGGCCTGGATGTGTTCTACGTTAAAATGGGAGCCCCTAGAGGAAACAGCATTGCTTCTTCAGTTACTTTCACCGCAGCTGCCAGGGTATTAAATAAGTACACTGTATAAAAATCAAGATACAAATAAGGACCATTTTGGTCCATTGTCATTAATATTTGTAGCCACTAGTTTCACTCAAAAACTGAGTAGTTTGAGGAACAATGTCCTTAGAAAAAAATCTCTACCTGTGCAGTGAATAATACACAAAATACTGTATAAACTTTTTTTGTTGGAAATGCAAAGATGTCTTTGAAACCCTGAGACTGCCCCTAGGCTATAGTTTGTAGCATTTAGTTTTGTGTGAACTTGAGGTGTAAAAATAAGTATTTTCATAAATATATTAAATCTCTTAAGAACTTTGGTCAGAGTGCTACGCAAACATAGAAGAATGATCTCTGCTGATTAGAACAGTAAGTAGATCACAAAGGCTGTTCTCAGTTGACGCCCACAGTGAAAGTTTTCATTTGGCTAAAAATAGGTGTAGGAGATAATGAATAGCATCACGTTTTTGGATAATTGTAGATAATTTTGTCTGTAATAAATGGCCAAGAAGATAGTCAGGCTAATGGTATTGCGATACTAAAAGAATTTGAACTTTATCTGGTAGTTGATAGTTTTTATTGAGGAATCAAAATAATCATAGTAACTGATAAAGTCTGTTGACATTTGGATTGGCGAGGAATAATGCCAAAGACACAGGGTCTAATTATGAACTCTCTTAGTATTCAGGGAGATGGACTACTTTTTAGTGGACTTACTAATGTGCCTGACCATTTTTTAAAAATAGTACTTTTCCTCATTGTTGATCATCTATTAATACTGCTGCCCAGTACTGTAGCTGAAAGAATGTTGGTGAGGCTGGATAATATTACTGATAAATAGACATGAGAGGAAAATAATTAATTCCCAAAACATTATTCTGGGAATCACCAACAATAATGAATTATTTAGTAATTGGATTTGTTTTAACAACTTGAATAATTTCTTTGCCCTTTGAAATGTTTAGTAAAGTTTTTCCAAGTAGTTAACCATTCTTTTTTTGCAAGGTTGAGAGAGGATGTCTTTTGTAATAACTCTATCAAGTATTCTATTGTTTAAAGAGTATTTGATAAGACAGTCTTTTTCCAGAGACTTTTTACATCATAGATCTGCACATGTACATGCAGAGGTCAAACAATGGCTAATGTGAAATGAGCAGATGCATTGTGGGGTGGCCAAGTCTGACTTCTGCCGGCCTCATAAGAGCATAACTAGCATCCCTGGTACCGAACAAATACCTACCTTGTCAGACATGCCACCCTCATACTCATGCTCCAGTTCCTGTGAATCATTGGATCCGCTGTTCGTTGCAGATTAACTCACAGTTTAGACTCAAATTTGGGGGATTAGGAAAATAGCTTGAGTGGATGAGAGGAGACAAAGAATATCATACAGTAGAAAATCAAAGTTTAGTGAACAGTAGCCCCAAGACAGACAAAGAGCAAGATACAATTCCTCAATTAGTTCCGCTACCTTCTCAGTCAACAAATGAAAGTTACCTACTTCTTACAAATAAAATTTTTTATTTTGTCTTTTCTGATTTTCTTTCTTGAAAACTAGTACTCATAAAAATTTCATTTTTATAAATGCCAATGTATTTTTCTGCATTCTCTTTTCTGTTTAATATTACACAAAAAAAATACATTATGTGTATCTTTTGGTCATAGATTATTTCAAATATATTTTTAACTCATCAGTTTGTCATTAGGCTTGGAACTGAATGTTTATCATTATGTAGTTTTTGGTGTTGTAAGCACTATTGAGTGCAACACAGCTTCTTTCCTCTAGGCCATTATGTATGTAAGTATGTAAAATCAAGTTTTGCAATATCTATCTACCTTTTAATAATTGTTATGTTCGTTTTTTAGCCTGCATTGGTTTCTGGTGTGCACAAGAAAATGAACATCAGCTTATGGAAGGCAGAGTCAATTAGTGTTGATTTTGGGGACCATCAAGCAGATCTCCTGAACTGCAAAGACAGCATTATTTCAAGTGCCAATGTAAAGGAATTCTGGGATGGCTTTGAAGAAGTTTCTAGTATGTTTTTGTTGTATATTGTTTGTTTGGTTTTACTATGAAGCAGTATTTCTCAGAAAGTGATAAAATTCAAATCTAAAATTGAATACATTCCCTAAATTCCTTTAACGTTCCATTTTGCATTGTTATCTAATTGATTGCAAGTATTTGCAATCAAAAGATTGATTCCTAATCCTACTGTGACCACTAATTTCTTTTAATTACTATACAATCTCTTTATCTCCTGGAGAATCATTTTGGCAATCCCATAACTTAGCAAAGTTGAATGATGTCATTTACATAAAGCACTTTGAAAAAAGTACAAGTAAAATAATGAGATTTATGGTTAATAAGGTTTTCTGGGGTTTTTTTGGTTGGCTGGATTTTTGTTTTGTTTTTGTAAATATAGTATCAGTGAAAAGTGCTATATATCCTTAAACATAAGGAACTAACTTTTGTAACTATAGTAAGCATATTCTTTATTTAAATTTCGTTCACACTCCCAAAACATTAATAAAAAAATAAAAAGGCAGTGATTATCTTTTTAGTAATTAACTGTATTCTTCTTAGAACGGCAGAAAACCCAAAGTGGAGAAACAGTTGTTTTAAAATTGAAAGATTGCCCTTCTGGAGAAGACTTCAAAACGATGATGCCAGCAAGGTAGTAGATCTTCTAAACTTTATTTGAACCATTGACTTTTTGTACTTGAGCTGAGATTATCTCCAAAGATAGAATAAGTAACTATATATGTGGCCCTTAGAAATGTATTTATTAATTAAAATAATAAATAATTCAAAACAAAGCTGAATCTCTCCAACTCCACCAAGGGGAAGTCTTTTTGTTAAGACTTTTTGTAAAGCAAGAATGACCATATCAGAGGACACATTAGGGTCCTGCTTTGAGCCTCCCTATTGTTGCTTATTCGTATTAGCCAGGAAAACAGTATTACAATTTTAATCTCGTCTCATGCTTGGCTATGTGCAGTGCATTCATTGAACTTTGCAGTTAAGTCAAGGAGAAATGTCATGTGTCAGAGAACATAAAGGAAAATTTATCTTATATTTTGAACAGTCTAGAAAATATACTTTGAAAGTACTTTAAAAATATTCTATTCATTTATAAAAAATGCAATATTATTTTTCTTCAGATACGAAGATCTTTTAAAAAGCCTACCGTTGCCTGAATATTGTAATCCAGAAGGAAGGTTCAATTTAGCCTCTCATTTGCCAGGATTTTTTGTACGTCCTGATCTAGGACCCAGGTTATGTAGTGCTTATGGTAGGTACATAGTCACAGTTTTTTGCTTGAAGAATTTTAACAGTAACTAGCCATGGATTAATTATGAAATGAATTTTAGTTTGTACATAATCTGGTTTAAATAATCTTTTTACTCAATAGCTAATAAAAGTTAATTTTATATATAGGTGTAGCTGCTGCCAAAGATCACGATATAGGAACAACAAATCTCCATATTGAAGTTTCTGATGTTGTGAATATTCTAGTCTATGTTGGCATAGCAAAAGGAAATGGTGTTCTTTCAAAAGCAGGTAAAGAATTATTGTAGTGGCTTAGAATAACAATTGACTAACACACACACACACAATTTCTTAATCAGAAATGAACTTTTGAGTTAAAAACATAGATTCCGAAAAGAATTGCAAGTGGCTTTTAGGAATATTCTAGTCTTCCTTATTTGAAAATTGTGTAGTCATACTGTTTCATTTTCTTTTTATAAAGTAATGTTAATTTTTAAAATGTGCTTTAAAGTTTATTTATTTTCTTCTAATCATTAATCATTTTAATATAAACATACATTAAGGAATAAAGAGTAGATCCTGGGGCTCTTCAGGAAGTATCAGAACTATGTAGTGCTACTCTTGTACATAGTGTTGCTATGAGTTCCAAGTGACTCGATGGCACATAACAACAACACAAACTATATAACAAAGATTTATTTTTTCAAACAAGTATTTATTCTCTTAAAGTTCAGAGGCTAGAAGTTTAAATTTAGCATTCTAGCTCTGGATGAAGACCTGTTTCCTTCACCATCTGTGGGACCAGAGTTCCTATGGATGTCATCTCTTTGTGCTTCACCTCTCCTGCTGTCTAAGGAGAATCCTTGCAGAGGAGCCTGAGTCCAAAAGGACCCAGTCCAGTTTTAGCATACTTGAGGTTACTGAGGTGTCCTCCTCAAGTTTCTACCTATTTACTCATCATGTATCCATTGCCATCAAGCATATTCTGACTCATAGCTGACCCTCCACTGGGTTTCTTCCACTGGATTCCCATGGCTGTAAGTTGCATAGGAAGAGACTGTCCACCTTGCAGCTACTCATGATTTTGAGCTACCAGAAAACAAAACAAAACAAAAAACGTGGATTTGCAGTGCACCTCTCTGTCTATGGACTACACTAATAGAGCTCTCTACCATATGTTGTTGTTGTTGTTGTTGTTGTTGTTGTTGTTGTTGTTAGGACAACTCATAGCAACCCTATGAACGAAAGGCCTGAGCACTGCTCATGGAGTTTCCTGAGGCAAGCTATTTCGGAAGCAGATGCCACTCCTGCTTCCAGGCTTGTTTTAATCAAACACTGTCCAACATGGGTAACCATTATCACATTTGGCACATCAGTGTCACAGTGTTCATCACAGCAACCGCAAGTTACCTCTGTACAGCAATGCACAGACCAGTGCTATACCACCTAGAAGAATGACAGAAAAACAATTTCTTTTTTCTTTTTTGAAATTTTTTTTCCTCTTCTTTTTTCTTTCGCCCTTGCAGACTCGGGCCACGGACGCCTCACACGCCTCCACCCACCCCCCCACCCCAGAAAAACAATTTTAAACAGGCCTGAGGACCGTAGATTAAAATCACCCACCTTAGCTTAGTAGCCTAACTTTCTGTGCACTAGGCCAACATAGCTCTATGTTGTCATTGTTGTTATTGTTAGGTGCCATTGAGAGTTGGGTAAATTTGAATAGAAGCTCTTGATCTTGTTTTCTCCTGACACTTAATTGGCAAAAAACCCAATCAACGGTTCAAATTATTGTTCTATCCCCAGTTACACCGTTTTCTGTGTTTCTGTTAGTATTTTATATAAACTGGGTTAAAGATTGCTGGATTTAATGAGGCATTCTGCTACTCGTTTAAGTCAGTTTTGGAGACACCTTGTCAGATTATGTTTTCTGACTAATAATGCACACACTCTTTTTTAATCTCAGGAATACTCAAGAAATTTGAGGAAGAAGATTTAGATGATATTCTAAGAAAAAGATTGAAGGACTCAAGTGAAATACCTGGTGCTCTCTGGCATATTTATGCTGGGAAAGATGTTGACAAGATAAGAGAGTTTCTTCAAAAGGTATGATTAATATTTGTCGAAAGTAAATCTTGGAGGAGGTGGCTGCCCTTCTTTCTCCCTCAAAACTGCCAGTGGAGAGAGCTCTGGTGGCAAGAAGTTGCACTGCAGTCCCAGAAGTATGCAGTTCGAATCCACCAGATGCTCTGCTGGAGAAGGAGGGACAGTCTCCTCCTGTACTAGTCAGATCCAATTTGATGGTACACGCACACAAAATAATAAAATAAAAAAAAAACTTTAAAAAAAAAAAAAAACAACAACAACAGAAACTGCCAGTTTTGCCTGCACTACCTAGCCACTCACCTTTTTGGTTACAGCAGTGCAGCACACTATGTATTAAGCCACCAGAAGTCTTTACGCATTAATAATAAAAGACTAATCTGTTGATGAAACAGATATTCTACTTGTAAGGTGGCAATATAAAAAACAAAAACCAAACCAACAAACAACCAGATGCTTTCAAGGAAAATCTAAAGTAGCTAGAAGGAACTGTGCTGCCAACCCACATAGCCCAATTCAACCAGCTGCTCCACGGGAGAAAATAGGCATTCTCCTGCCATGAGATTTATTGCCTCTGTTAACCTTCTGAAGGGTCAGCTGTGGATTGGTTTCAACTTAATGGTGCACAGCAACAATAAGAAAAGATACCACACTACCACATTTGGTCCTTCTGCAATACTTACTTACTTGAGTTTCATTGCTCTCTAGTGGGAACCAGCTCATAGTCGACCCTCTAATAGATTTTCAGCGGCTATAAGTTGCACAGGTGATTTACTCATCTTTCTCCCTTGGAGTAAATCAGGGATTTAACCCCTCTTTTTTAAGGTCAGCAGCGCAACTCCCTACCCACTAAACCTTCCTACTAACTTAAAATTTAGCTAAAGAGAAGGTTTCATCATTTAAAAATTTTGGTATAAATTTTCATTTTAATCCATATTTTAGATTTCAAAAGAACAAGGCCTTGACGTACTTCCAGAACATGATCCTATACGTGACCAAAGTTGGTATGTGAATAAAAAGCTCCGGCAGAGACTGCTTGAAGAATATGGAGTCAGAACCTGTACTCTTATCCAGTTCCTGGGTGATGCCATTATCTTGCCAGCAGGAGCACTTCATCAGGTGTGTAAAAGCTTACCACTAATAACCTGAAACAACCAATGTGGGAGGAAAGGAGAAGAAAGCACAAGTGCAAAAATTACTTGGATGATCTATTTTCATTAACACATCCTTGAAATGTCTTTCTGCTCCCTGATGAAATCTGGATTAATTAGATATTTTCACAGTTTAAATTTTTCAATTATAAACCATAATTGCAACTTCTGTTGTCTCTGATCAAATAAGTTCTAATACAGTTAACTTGTTAAGGTATCTTTTAGAGAAAATAGAATTATTGTAATTCTCAATTGTAATTATTGTAAAACTGACACATAATAAGAGGGGGATCAACACTTGTAGATCTTGCTTTTGGTGGGGCGGCTAAGTACAGTGTTCTTTATTGATGGTATGTGACAAGATGGGCCCCTCTCCTTCCTCAGGGGGATTGGATGGAAATTGTGTCAAGGATGTGAGATTATTGGGGTGCAGGGGGTAATCCTTCTGCAATGCCAAAGTTAATATGAATGACCTTAGCCATGGGACCAAGCAGTTTATGGTGCAGGAGGCACTGCTGACAATCTTGAGAGTTGTCATACCTCTCAAGGTACACACCTATCACAAACATGAGAACATTGGCAGAAGGAGCAGAGATGATTACCCATTTCAAATGACACCCAGCTTTCTCCAGGGTTGCGAAGACATCATTGGATTCCACAATATGCTCAGCATTAGCCTCATCCCACTTGAAGTTTCTAAGATCTTGCTCCTGGAAGATAGTGATGGCTTTTCCATTGCTGACAGCTCTCTTCTCATTCTCAGTCTTGACAGTGACTTGAACTTGCCATGTGTGGAATCATATTGGAACATAAAGATCATGTAGTTGAGGTCAATGAAGGGGTCATTGTTGGCAACAATATCCCTTTTGCTGGATTTAAAAGTATCCCAGGTGACCAGGCATCCAGTGCAGCCAAATCCATTTATTCCAGCCTTGACCATTGTCTTTCAGGGATACAGCTAAGGCTGCACAATAAGAGAGGGCAATTTGTCAATCAGTGAAGAACAGAGAGCCATATCAAGTATTTTCTAAGTCCCCATGTTTAAGTAGAATGAATGAGTAACTGAATTATTAACTTGTCCATTCCAAAATTTGGGCTTTAGATGTGTCTCCTGCCTCCCTATAGCATGCTAACACACCAGTAACCCCATCAAAAGAAAATGTATCTCTGTTTGCAGGCATGACATAGACTATATTCCAGTAAGAGACGATAACTCGATCCGATCCCCACCTTAGCACTTGGTAGGGACAAAAGCTGCAAGGAAAACCTAAGACTCTGAAATGCTAGTCAGAGCTGATTTTCCAATGCCTAGTAGTAATGGAGATGGTCCTGATATGTGGTCTTCCAAGAAAGTTCCTTCCCATTTTATATATAGTTAAATGTACCTATTGAGATTCTGTGAAAAGTATTTATAAAAACATTCCTTAAGTCATGAACAGCTGTTCAGTTTTTAAGACATTGATTTCCAACATCAGATAGTATATATTAAGATCTTGGATGACCATAATGGGAAAGCCTGAGCATAATGCTAAACATAACTATGATGTTAAAAATTAGCATCCTGTTTGGATCTCATGTTTATAGGTTGTTTATGGGTCAGCCTTGACTCAACGGCATTTGAACAGAAAGAGGCTCAATTTATGATTGCTACCTTAACTGGAAAAGCTTTATTTTTTTTTTTTACTAGAAAAGCTCAAGTTTTCATAAATAAAGATTATTTATTTAGGAAAAAAATAATAAAATAAAAATTAGCATCCTGAAGAAAGGAACCTCCTTTTTCTTTTAACAGTACAGTAAATCTTTCTGTAAATGGAAGTTGTCGGCAAATCAGTCCTGACTTATGACAATCCCATATATGCAGATTAGAACTGCTTTGTAAGTTTAAAAAGTTCTAATTATGGCTGTGTTGTTATGTGCCTTCTAGTCAATACCGACCCATAGCTGACCCTCCAGTGGGTATTCAGAGGCAGTAAATCACACTGGGAAGAGATTGCCCGTCCTTCTGCCACAGAGCAGTTGGTGGATTTGAACTGTAGGCCTTGGGGATGCACAGCTTCTTTGAAAATTTGCTTAGATAGAGATTAATAGACTTCCTACCTGATCTAGGCTTACAAATTGTATTCTACATTCTAGCACTAAATTGCCAAGTGATTCGAGATTTCTCTGCTGCATATTAAGACATAGTTCTTTGTCCTCTGTTGCAAGGGTGCCGTCCTTGGTTGACAGTGGTGATACAGTAACAAAGTGTTAACTTTATTCATAATCCTAATTTATTTGGGATTGTTCCATAACAGGTTGCCCTGCTAACCAAAAGATTTGTAGCCATCAGCATCTCCTCAGGGAAAAGATGGGCTGTCTCCTCTGGTAAATCTACAGCCTTGAAAACTTGGTGATGGATTGGCATCAGTCAGAATTAAACTTAGTGAGAATGAGTTTGGGTTTTGATTACTTGGGAGATTCTAAAACCAGTTCATTCGTGACTTGAGTATTTTTAGTGGCTACAGTTACTTTTAAATAATTGTGAGTGCTACTTAAGTGCATCTCAAGCTTTGGTATACTTTAGAATTTCCTTCAGAGCTTCCTGAAATACTAATTACTAGGCCTCTACCCTTACAGTTGTGATTTAGTAAGCCTAACGAGTGCTGGTGGCGTAGTGTTGTGCCACTAACTATAAGATCAGTGGTTCAAATACACCTTCTTTAGAGAATGATGGGCATTTTCCTATAAAAATTTAGTATTGAAACCCCAATGGAGGGAAGCTGCCCAGGAGATACTGATAGTACCGTACTGAAACAACCTGGAAACATTCCAAAGTCTGGATTGAAAGCTTAGACCCTCCTCCCTCTTTTGCCATAGTGAACATTACTAAAAAATAATCTTTTTTTTTTTATGGAAAAGTAAAAGAAAAGATTCTTTCATTGTTTTACAAACCCTCCCCCAGGTCCCCTCCACCATGCAGCCCTCGCTCTAGTCTCCTGTGATGACAGAAATACCCAGTTACATCTCTCTTTTAGACGGTTCTCTCCCTCCTCTGCTTCAGTGCAGTATACATTATTGAACCCATCTTACTCAGTCTCTCCCCAACCCCAAGGACAGTCCCATTCTACAACAGTGGCATCATGTAATATTTGTCCTTTTGTGACTGGGATATTTCACTCAGCATAATGTTCTCCAGAGTCAACCATTTTGAATAATATTGCATGAGTTCCTTGTTTTTTAATGCAGCATAGTATTCCATTGTGCAAATATACCACAGCTTCTCTAGCCATTCGTTTGTTGATGGGCACTTAGGTTGTTTCCAACTCCTTGCTATTGTGAACAAAGCTGCAATAAACATGGGTGTGCATATATCTGCTTGGATGTCAGCTATGGTCTCTTCAGGGTATATTCCCAGTAGTGGAATTGCTGGGTCAAATGGTATCTCTATCTGCAACTTTTTGAGAAAGCGCCATACTGCTTTCCACAGGGGTTGCACCATTTTACACTCCCACCAACAGTGAATCAGGGTTCCAGTTTCTCCACAACCTCGCCAGCATTTGTTGCTTGCTGTTCTGTTAAATTTTGCTATTTTGACTGGGGTGAAATGATATCTCATAGTTGTTTTAATTTGCATCTCTCTTAGGGCTAGGGATTTTGAGCATTTCTTCATGTGTTTGTTAGCCATCTGAATGTCGTCTTCGGTGAAGTGCCTGTTCATATCCTGTGCCCATTTTTCTATTGGATTATTTACCTTTATCTTGTTGTGGTACTAAAAAATAATCTTAAAAAATACTGATCAGATTTTATTTAATAGATGCCTTTGTCAATCCTAATCCTTTGTTAAATCCTAATGTTAATCCTTTTTCAAAAACCTAATCCATAGGACAGTAATGGATATTTTTGAATGATTACCTTGAAACAAATATACTGCCAGCCCTAATTCTAAGATTAAAGATAATTCTAAGATTTACTATTATAGTCAGTAGATCTACCTGACATAGATTTCATCTTAGCTTCTCACAGAAAACCCTTTTGGTGTTAAAGTTAACTGTAAAAGAACTAAAATGCTAGAAACCAAAGTGATAGAACATACTCAAATTAATTGTTGTTATGTTCTCGTTATGTGCCTTTGAGTTGCTTGCGACTCATAACAACCCTGTATACAAGAACTCAGAGCCTTGTCCTATCCTGAGCCAATCTTACTGTCCCTGACACACCTACCTATATTAACCCAGATACTGTGTCAGTCCATCTCTTCTGGGGTCTTCCTCTCCTACACTGTCCCTACACTTTTCCAAGCTTGATGGCCTTCTCCAAGGACTGGTTCTTCCTGGCCACATGCCTAAAGTATGTGAGATGGAGCTTCAAAATTCTTGCCTCAAATAGGCTAGTTTCACCCTCTCTAAGACAGACTTTTTTATTATCTGTATTCTGTGGTATGTTCAGTACTCTTCACCAGCACAACTCAGAGATATCGATGATTCTTCTATCATCCTTACTCACTATCTAACGTTATATGATCCCACATACATGAAATAACTAAAATAGGCAAATGGATGAACAAAAAGTAGATTAGAAATCTTCAAGAAATAAAGGAAATCTTAAATGTTACAGTGTTTTGAATTGGGATGATAAAAGATCATCTTTTTGGATCATTGATATTGTCATTGTGAATGTAATTAATGCCGCTAAATTGAGCCCTTTTAACTGGTTAAAATCATTTTTAAAATGTTTTACCACATTAAAACTTTTCCTTTAAAAAAAAACCACTTAAGTATTCCATTTACAAAGTCTGTGTGCATGAAGCATTCCAGTATCATTAACCTTCTGGTTATGGTCTGATTAAAAATCATTGTTGGTTTGCAGAAAATAAATTGTCTACTAGAATTGTTTCTGTTACTCTGTGCTTCCTCTGTATTGCTATGGTTAGGCACCACTGAGTCAGAACCAACCCTCCAGCAGGTTTTCCAAGACAGTAAATTGTGTGCAAGGAGATTGCTCATCTTTCTCCCACAGAGCAGCTTATGGGTTCAGACTGTGCTTTTGAATTGTCCAGGCAGCTCTTTTATCACTAAGCCATCAGAGTGCCTTTTTAATCCCCTAAAATTTATATACCATTGATTGTTTTTCTTTTGATAATAGGTACAGAATTTTCACAGTTGTATTCAGGTAACTGAAGACTTTGTGTCTCCAGAGCATCTTGTGCAGTCATTTCATTTAACACAGGAACTGAGACTTTTGAAGGAAGAAATTAATTATGATGATAAATTACAGGTAGGAAATGAGGGTTTATTGGGGTTTTTTAACTTGATCTTGTTTTACAGGCCTCAGAAATAGAATTTCGCTAACCGCTTAGGGGAATGGTGCTAGCATAACACCCAGAATGTATTGGTATGACTTTCAGTGACCTTTTAATGATTGGATTAAAAATGTTTTCCCTTTAAATTTGTTATTCCATGGCCCTTCATAAATTCTATTTTTTTTTCTTTTTTTAAAAAAAAAGTCTTTTTCATTTAATCTTCATTTGTCTCCAACTAAAGTGACTAGAAATATCAATGTCTCTTTCAGGTGAAAAATATTTTGTATCATGCAGTCAAGGAAATGGTGAAAGTTTTGAAGATACATGAAGGTGAAGTAGAAGATATGGAAGAAAACTAAGTATGATCCCTTTAGGTGGTTTGAGCCCGTTGACCTGGGATTTTCTTATCCTTGATATATATGCACACTGACTTAAGTTTCATGAAACCATCAGTGCCAAGAAATTCTCTTTGTAGTAATTACTTGTTACTGACTCCACAACAGTATAGCATATGTCACAGCTCCCGTGACTTAATGTTAGTTATTATTAAAAAAAAAAAGCTGAATTTAAAAAGCAGCACATCACAGCTGTTTTTGTATTATACTGTATATGAAGTTTGTGAAAATGCCAGATTTAAAATGATGTATTTATTTTTGGAAAAAGACAAAATTCTATGCTATATTGTTGATCAAGTGTAAATGTGACCTTGTACAGTTTGCTAAAATAACGTGATATTTTTCACTACATTGAGACAGTTACTGTGAGAATAGGACACAAACACCAGCTGTTGCCTGCGTTGGGGAAATTGCTGAATCGCACAGCAGTCATGTCATAATCAGAAATTACTGCCAAATACTTGTAAAATTTGTAAAATACAAAGTATATAAAGTAGATACTAAATGCAGACACTTCAATATTTTGTTGAAGCTATTCACTGTACAATTAAACATTTTCAAAAGGTGTAATTTATTTAAAATTGTCTCATTTTTGGTAAATTTATGTGAACTTTTAAAGCTAAATATGAAACTTAATATGCTATGTAAATATATACATATATACATTTAATGATGTATTTTTTTAAAGCATTGGCTTGCTTTTATTTGTTAAAGTGCAAGTGTTACATATGGCTTTGTACATTAAAGTTGAAAGGGGTTTTACATTTTCCATTAAAAAGACTTTATGAAATGTTGGTTTGTTCTAGAGTTCTCCCTCTTTTGATACACTATCATTGAGGTTTTTCAGTGCATTACAATTACCCTCATTTTCTTTTGACAAAAATATTCTCGCCTATCTTTCTTTCTTGTAGGCCTTCTTTTGTCTCTTTAGGCTTTATGAGCACTCACAAGTAAATGCACTAACTTACTTGTCCTAAAGAAAGGAATACTAACATAGTTGTTGGGTGGCATCAAGTTGATTTTGAATCATATAGTGACTCACTGTACAACATCTCATTAAGGGTCTTACTCTTCTTTGCCAACCCTCTACTTTTGTTGGGCCGCGCGTGCGCGCGCGCCCCCCCCCCCCCCCCCCCCCTCTCTCACACACACACACACACACCCCGACTGTAGAAATTATATGAGACAAGTTTCACAATTTTTACTTCTGGTGAGTGTTATAGCTAAGTTCTTCCAAGATTTATTTGTTCTTTTGACCATCTATAATATGTTAGTACTTAATGCCAATACCACAGTTTGAAGGCATGTATAATTCTTTGGTCTTTCTTATTCATTGTCCAACGTTCATAAGCATAGGAAGCAAATGAGAATACAGTGGTTTGGGTAAGGCACACCTAGTCTTTTAACTGATAGATTTGCTCTTTAACACTTTGAGAAATTTCTTGATAGTACATTTGCCCAGTGTAGCACAGCTTATGATTGCTTGACTGCTTCTCATATGGGTGCTGATCGTGGATCCAAGTAAAATTAAATCCTTGACTTCGGTCTTTTTTCCATTTATCCTGATGTTGCCTCTTAGCAGCCCAGTTATGAAGATTTTTGTTTTCTTGATGATGAATTGTAATACAGGCATACCTCATTTTACTGTGCACATTTTTCTTTTTAATTGATGGATTTTGACAGCCCTATATCAAGTCTGTCGGCACCATTTTCCCAGCAGTGTATATCTACTTTGTCTCTGTCATGTTTTAACAATTCTCAAAGTATTCTTAACTTTTTCATAATGCTCTTGTACATTTAACAAATGATAGTATGTTCATTTAAGAAATGATAGTCTATTGTGTAAGTAAAATGGATACCAAAGAATTTGCACTGTTGGCTTTATTGTGGTCTAGAACTGAACCCACAATATCTCTGAGGCATAGAAGTAAAGATATTGCCAGAATTTGACCTCTTCCACCTCTGCTTGTTAAGAACCCAACTTGTACTTTGAGATACATCTTTCCTAATAAATTTCGTTTTTATTCTGACCTTAATTTTTAAAAAAAATCATCATAAGGTAACTCTAGTGTCCTAGTCCATAGGAAATTGCACTGTAAACCAAAAAATTGTTACTAGTTTACTAAACAGTTTTAAGTCAGTTTGTTTTTTACATAGTAAATATAGCTGCTATTACAGCATAGTAGGAGTGGATGAGGAGTAAAGGAGAGCTGTTATCAGGAAAAAGTCAGCAGACAGTTTGATTATGAGTTAATATATTGATATGGGCCGATGGCTTTGATTTGGAGTGATTCCTCTGACCGTTTACTTAAGTTTCCTCCATCCTTTGGCTGGCTTTTATGCTCCGCTTATATGAGAACAGCTGAATAGATACTTGTTCCAGGTAATAGTAAGGAGCACTAGTGGTAAGAAACTCTACTGAAATCCCAAAGACACATGGTTCAAGTCTACCAGCTACTCCACGAAAGGAGGATAGGCAGTCTTATTCCATGTGGTTTACTGCCTCTATAAACTCATTGGCATGTTAGCTATGGGCCAGGTGAGTCATTTCTGACTCGATGGCACACAACATAAACAATCACTAGAAAATATGGTGAATATTAAATGTATAGTTTATTTGAAAATATTCTAAATCACGATTTTTTAGAGAAATTAGGTGGTTTCCACCCATTTCCTTTTGTATGGTATTAGTACCTTGTTTTTGACTACCAGTTCGTTTTCCTGATTAATGAATTAGATGTGTTTATAAACATTGCCAGCACCAAGTATTTTTGGGTGTGAAGTTGAAATTGTCTCACTGGCAGTGACTTTTTGTTTTTAGCACCCATAGAAAGTATTGTTTGTTTACCTGTACTTCCCTTTGGTAGAATGGGTATGAGTTAGGTAAGATTAGTTCTAATGTGTGCCTATCAAGAACAGATTGTCTGCCATGGAAGAGGACAGTTTCTAGCTGGTCAGTATACTGAGTCGGGATGTGGCAAGTTGGCCAACATTTAATCAGGCCTGTCATTAAGATGCAGGCTCGGAGCTTTCCTAACTAGTAACCTTTGGTTTCACACTAGTTAGATTAACCAAAGTAGTTCCTCCTTGAAACCATACAGCAAGTGAGTCCTATGCAAAGTATTTTGGTTCTTACAGCCATCCGTCTGGCTCTTTTAGAAACCTAAGCTGACTTTGAAACAAAAATTAAAACGTTGGCAAGCCCTCGGTTACTGACTGCATACAAAGCAAGCTTCATTTCATAGCTGGAAAGGTTTTCACAGCTGACTTAAGCTGCTGAGTTGGCTCTCTGTACATGTGCCAAACAGCTGTAGCTAAAGCTGGAGAATTGTTGTTTTCAGTGGCTTATCTGACAAGTGGAGGAATACTCCAGGCCATGTGTTGAATGTAGTGGTTATAATTGGCCTCCACTTGGAGGGGTGGTATGTTCTAAAGACATGCCCAGTATTACACCCTTCTACCCCCAACTTGGACCAAGAGGCAGTCGTCAGAACAGAGCAGGGAAACACTGCATGGTTCAAAATTGGGAAAGGTGTATGCCAGGGATGTGTCCTATCTCCATACCTTTTCAACCTGTATGCAGAACAGATTATCCGAGAGGCTGAACTCTATGAGGAGAAGTGGGGCGTCAGGATTGGTGGAAGATCTATTAACAATCTGCATTATGCAGATGACACAACCCTGCTTGCCAAAACTGAGGAGGACCTCATGCACTTGCTGCAGAGGGTCAAGGACTGCAGCCTTCAGTATGGACTGAGGCTCAATGTCAAGAAGACAAAGATTCTCACCACTACACAAATTGGTAGCATCAGGAGGGATGGCGAAGAGATTGAGATTGTTAACAACTTTAGTCTGCTTGGCTCCACAATCAACACTCTTGGCACCAGCAGCCAGAAAATGAAAAAAACATATTGCGATGGGAAAGTCTGCTGTTAGGGACCTCTCCAGGGTACTGAAGAACAATGGTGTCACTCTGGAGACTAAGGTGCGTCTGATAGAGGCGATGGTCTTTGCAATCACTTGTTATGCATCGGAGAGTTGGACAGTGACTAGGAAGGATAGAAGGAGAATTGATGCCTTTGAGCTATGGTGCTGGAGAAGAGTATTGAATATACCATGGACTGCCAAGAGAACAAACAGATTTCATCCTGAGAGGATTAAACCAGGCTGTTACTTGGAGGCAAGGATTCTGGGGCTTCGTCTAACATACTTTGGACATGTAAGGAGGGACAGATCCTTGGAGAGGGACATTATGCTTGGGAAGGTGGAGGGACGGTGTAGGAGGGGAAGGCCTTCTATGAGGTGGATTGATTCAGTGACTGGGGTAATCGGGATGGGTCTGTCAGGCAGTGCGATTGGCACAGGATAGAGCAGGGTTTAGGGCTGTTGTACATAGCGTCGCTATGAAAATGGCACATAACAACAACAACCCCCAACTTAGACTTGAGAGTTATCAGATGTTGAAAGATTTAGAGAAAGATGTCAATAAAAAAAGAAAAAGAAATGAAGGCAGGGTGGAAAATCTTCAATTCCCAGTGACAGTCAATATATGGTTTTTGTTTCAATGAAAGTGTTTACTAAATCACAGTTCCAATCAGTATTGCAGAATACAGAACACAAGACTCAACAGAGGGCATACAGGTTAGGAAGTGGAAGGAATTAATGTGGGGATAATTTTTCCTACCCACACATTGTATAAAATGAGGGTAGACAGCATGGGGATGACCTTATCTGGTCTCTACGAACTCTTTAAAGGGAAACTATCCCCATCAACAATACCCAAAGTACAAAACCAATTCCTAGAAAGTCAGACATGGTCTACATTTCTGCACTTCCTTGTACTAATTCCAACACCAGTCTTTTCTGCTCTTGTAGATCTATATTCTGTTGCAATAACCACATAAATCCCACAGAACCATAATCATGGTTACAGGGCTTATTAGGGAAGTTAGCAGGTAGGGAAG